ATATATATATATATATATATATATATATATATTCAAAATAAAATTATCATTTTTTTACAAAGAATCAAACATACATTCAGAGCACACACATATATTATACAAATTATCACTATAATATTCGTATAACACATCATAGATTAAAGATAATACAAACAGCAATAAGATAAGTTTATATTATTTAAAATTATCATACAACTTATAAAATAAAAATTTATACAATCATTCATTTTCACACCTCAATCACTATTTAGTTAATATCGTTCAATAATCAAACCATTTAATCATCAAATATACTTGATTCTATTTTCATAAAACTCTTGCATTCAGTATTAGAAACTATATTTACTTTACACACACAAGTCAGAACTATACAACTTATAAAATAAAAATTTACACAAACATACCTTTTCACATCTCAATTATCATTTAATTAATATCATTCAATAATCAAACCATTTAATCATCACATATACTTATCTATTTTCGAAAGATTCTTAAGTAAACTTAGACACTACATTTATTAAACAAAAAGCTACAAATCAGAATCAAATTATCCTCATATGAAAAATAAATCACTTACAACCTATTAAATACCATTCTTTTTCATACTACACTCTAAATTCTATGCTATTTGCATTCTTACCAAACGAGCAAAGAAAGTGTAGGCTGTTCTCTTCTTTAGAAATCATAGTTTCAATCCTCTTTCACTGACTACAATATTGAAGCATTTAGATAACAGAAAGATTCATTCTTTTATTGCTTTAATCTCAGCTTTGAATGCGATGGTGTACTTGGTACACATGGTTTTAATGTATGAACCAATTAACATTTTGGAAAAGTTTGTTCAGTTCAGGCTATGAGGAAAATAGAAAACCATACAATTAACAAACACTAGTCAAGAGTTTGATATTTCAGAGATCCAAATTTGTAATATATAACTGTTCTCATACAGATTCTTCTGCTACACGCTGTGTAGTTACATCAGTGAAATTTGAGTTAAACACAAGGGAAAAACTGCAAATATGAGCAGAAGATTGCATTGCATTGCATCCAAGAAGGCACAAGTTGACATGCTCATTGTCCAGGGACGAAGTTGGTGGCATAAGCCCAAGCATTGTTGGCAACAGGGTCAGCAACATGGTCGTAAAGGTTCTGAATAGGGCCCTTGCCAGTGACAATGGCCTGAACAAAGAAACCAAACATGGAGAACATAGCCAAGCGACCATTCTTGAGTTCCTTGACCTTCAACTCAGCAAATGCATCAGGGTCATCAGCAAGACCAAGAGGGTCAAAAGCACCACCAGGGTAGATAGGGTCTAACCCTTCACCAAGAGGTCCTCCACCGACTCTGTAACCTTCAACAAACCCCATAAGCACAACCTGCACAGCCCAGATGGCAAGAATGCTCTGAGCATGGATCAGGTTTGGGTTCCCCAAATAGTCAAGTCCTCCCTCAGAGAAGATCTGTGCACCAGCCTTAAACCACACTGCCTCACCGAATTTCACACCATTCTTCTCAAGAATCTCTGGGAAGGTGCATCCTAGAGCACCAAGCATGGCCCATCTGCTGTGAATCACCTCCAACTCACGGTTCCTGGCAAAGGTTTCAGGGTCAGCTGATAATCCAGCCGTGTCCCATCCGTAGTCACCAGGGAATTCACCGGTCAGGTATGATGGAATCTGGTCAGAAAATGGACCCAAGTACTTGGGACGGTCAGGGCCATACCTGTGTTCCACAATCACACCCAATGAAAAATCAGTCATTTTCTCAAACAGATAGAGCTAACACCCCACTTAGCACATAGTGTTAGACAATAGTTATCATGCTTGCATAATCACTGGTTTTCTAGTTAACCCTGAGAGTTGTTCAGCACAGAATACAAATACAGTTCTATAGATGCTCTTGTGCTGTGTTCTTTTATCAGAATTAGAGTTTGACATTCAATGGAGACCCTTAAAGGGTAAAATGGTGAGACAAAACAACACCAAAATCATGAAAACATGGAATTGCATGTAAATTTAGTATTATTATACTAAAACTGATAACTAGTAATACCAGATACTAGCATTTTGTTGTATAACAAGAAGGTACATGGATGCAAGTGGAGCACTTACCAAATGCTCTGAGGAGCACTTTTGACGGTGCGGCGCATGTTGGTGCGACCTTGGCCGGAGCCACCGGTCTTGCGGACGAGCTCATTGACCTGCTTCAGAGCTGTTTGACCAGCGAATGCTGATTGCTGGAAAGCAGTGGTGGCCATGGCTGTGTTGTGTGGTTAAAGGTCTCTTCTTTCTTTGGTTTTGTGAGTGTGTTGTGGAGAATGAAGAAGGGTACTACAAATGTTTATAGAAGGGTGGCATGATATTGTGGATGAGGATATGCACAACTCAGCAACACTTCATTGGTTCTGGATATGGATGTGGATTCTCATGCTGATATTTTGTGCTGCTAAACTGTCTCTGCTTCTGCCACGTGGATGCAAAGATCTTCTTCCATAGATGTTTTCGAGAGGGCTAATGTAAGCCACAGAAAAAGGGCCCACCAAAGTCTAAGAAATCAAAATTAAAAATATCAACTTGAAATTGCAGATAGTTTGGGTTGGGTTCATTCTACAGTGCAAACCCGTGACCCATCACATTCTTTTTCTTCTTTTCTTTTCAAACAAAAAAACAAACAGTTGGTGTTCCTGAGAATCTGAAACCACACACAGAATACTCGGCTACCAGGAATTCATGGTGGCAGCTCATCTTTGCTACATTACAAATTTGGTTTATGTGGGAATTAAATTCTAAAATAAGTTGTAATAATTAGATGAGAATTAGAAAAAAACAATTAAAGCACATCAAATAAGGTTATAAACATCACCAATACTGTAACAAAGTTTCTGTTTAAACCTTCAATACAAAAACCCTTTCAAAAGTTATCGTAAAATAAAGTTGTGATGAAATATTTTATCAATTATTTCAATGATATTAGCTATTTTAAATATTAATTTAGTAAATTTAAAATATAGTAAGAAACTGAAAATGAGTTTAAGATAGACAAATTAAAATCAACATGATTGCAATGAAACATCACTTNTTCTCCAGCATCAGCAGTGTACAACAGAATCGCAGGTTTTCCAACTATCCACCCTTCCTTCCCATTGAAACTGATAGAATTAAAGCGATAGTTGAAATCTTCATCTTCGGCAGAGGGAATCGAACGCGCAGCCCAAGTGTTTCCTCCGTCCTTCGTCTCCAGAATTGTTTGCCTCGTCCCGAGAAGAAAACCTAAAACACGAACACCGCTCATTCATTAAACTCCAACTCAAACCAAAACAACAGCATCTAAGGCAAAGCGAGAGGATATTACGAATTTACGATACCGTGGTTGGGGTCGTCGGGGACAAAAGTGATGTCGAGAAGCACGACGCCGGGGTCAATAGGGAGGTACACTCTCTCCCACTCCGAGAGCGTGTCTTCGGCCCTCGCAGGAAAGTGAGGAAGCGAAACCGATATTGCGGCGGTTTCGGCGAGGAAGCGTCTCCTGCTCCGGGAAATGTCGTCGGAAGAAGAAGAAGAAGAGGCTTTGACAACGATGCTTCGACTCAGAGGGAAGGTTCGAGAGGAATGTAGAGAAGACCTGAACAAGGAGGATGAGTCGGTGGTGAATTGCAGGAGGAAATTGAGCGGGAAAACAAAACATTTTGTAGGATAACAAGAAGGTGCATGGATGGATGCAATTGGAGCACTTACCAAATGCTCTGAGGAACATCCTTGACGGTGCGGCGCATGTTGGTGCGACCTTTGCCGGAGCCACCGGTTTTGCGGACGAACTCATTGACCTGCTTCAGAGCTGTTTGACCAGCGAATGCTGATTGCTGGAAAGCAGTGGTGGCCATGCCTGTGATGTGTTGGCAAAGGTCTCTTCTTTCTCTGGTTCTGTGAGTGTGTTGTGGAGAATGAAGATAGAAGGGTGACAGGGGCCATGGTGGATGACGATATGCACAACTCAAAAATGGTTAATGTAAGCCACACAAAAAGGTCCACCAAAGTTAAGAAATAAAAATTAAAAATATCAACTAAAAATGAAATCAATTTATATTTTACTGGTGGAAATACATGTTTATATAATAACAAAGAATAATAAAATTAAAATTGTAAAGTATAAATACATTTTTATAATTAGAAATAGTTTTTATTTATTTTGCAGGTAATTTTTTTATCATAAATAATTATTTTATTTAAAAAATAAGTTAAATTTAAACAAATATCATATAAAAAATAGATAAATTTAAAAAACGGTCACTCAAAAAATAAACTTGGTAATTTAATTTGTTTAATACTCTCATATGATATTTTGTTTATTATGCTTTTTGTAATTTTTAGTTCTGCATTTCAATTCAATTCCAGAATTTACTTTCCAACTTGATTTTACATTAAGTAGTGCAATTTTCCGTTCTGCACCTGATTTACGTTTCTACACTTGATTTCCGTTCCTGCTTTTACCTACTTTCACTAATTTACATTTCAGCACTTGATGTTCATTCAGTCATTTAGTTTCTAATCTGCTTTTATATTCAACAATGCATTTTAATCGTTTGAAACTTGTTCTAAACATTTGTTCCAGTTCTGTTTCAGATTTCTCAAATTTCCAGTTTGGTTGTTAAGTTTGTTACCTCTCGCGCCACTGGATCTAGCTTTGGTTTTAATGTTGAATTTTTATTTTTCTTGCTTAATTGCAGTTTCAAGTATTGTTTCATGATTGTTTCTGTATTAGATTCATGTCTCTGAACTCAATTATAGGTTTAATTCTTAGTTTTCAGTTCTTACTGGTTGAGTAAGAACTCAATATACTAGTTCTTATTAGTTAGTGATTTTCTGAATTTTAGGAATTTTAGTTCATTTTAGTATTTCTCAGTTTTATTGTTCAATTAGTATTGTTTCAAACTTCTTTTCATGATCATATCATGATCCATAGCATTTCATATGAATCAATTCTGCATAATAGACCACCTGATGCACTTTGCTGTCAGCACGAGTCACGCTGTTTTATTCCATTTGCGGTCTAATTACTATAATTCTGGTTTCAAATGCATTTTTGTTAATTTTTAATTGTTTAGTAGGATTTAATTCATATCATCCATAGTTTTAATCATTCAAATGTGTTCCAGCCACTCAAACTGCATAATTTACAGATTTAGTTCTCTTAGGCATTTTGTTAAACACCTTGTGCAGTTTCTGTTTTCTCTTAGACATTTCGTTGAACAGTTTCGTTTTTCATATTTCTGCATTGTTTTAAGTAATTTTTGTGATTGTAACTCAACATTCATCACACATCATTAAAAAATTATTTTTATATTGATTTGAGCACTTTCTTCATTGTTGCATACCATGAACACTGTCACAGGTTGTGCATATCTGCTTTCACTCTTTTAGTTTCCTTGCATGAGTTTCTTTTGTCATTCTAGACTAGTTATTGTTGTTTATATATTCCCCCACTCATTGCATTGTTTTCTTGGCAAAATCTACACAAAATAGCTACCTAAATACTGATTTTCTTGGATTGACACTCAGTCTACCCTACGCTACATTAGGGGGATTGTTGAGATTTTTTCTTGATGATATATAGTTTCAACATTCACTATAGTTATACAGTACTTTAGTTTATCTTTATTCTCTCTTGCCCTAAACTTATATATCATAATAATTTTCGTATTTTTCAACGTATGCAACAGAGTTTTGAAAGGGTTTGTAAAAGAAGAAAAATACTTTGTGCTTCACTCAGTTTCTACGTTATTTTACCTTTTTCAAGGCAAACTTGGTAAGCGATGCACCAGTGGAGACAATATGGACACATGTACACAGAAACAAGAAGTTCTAATGAAACTACAATGAATAAATCTATAATTGCTTTAATTCACATTGATTTACAGTGGGAAAGACATGATGAATTAACGAAGCTTTATCTACATGATAACTCTATGATGAGTACAAAATGATGACATACATATGCAACAACAGTATTATACACAGACTAAAGTCGGTGGGCGTGTAAAGTTTATATCCCTGCCTCTAACGAAGTGTCATGTTCATTCCCATTTGACTAAAAATCAGTCCTATGGGGAGCAAAAGTAGCATCAGAAATGAAAAAGATGGAGAAAGAAAGAAAGAAGGTGAAGTATTGAATTCGGAAGAATAATTGGTGCTGGGATTCAGAATAACTGGAAGAATATTCTTCATGCTCCACTCAAAAACCCATGCAAGAGCACCAATCATGACACAGATACCCCATCTCGTAGCATTCAGGTGCATGCAATCTGACAGGCCTTTAGCATACTCAATCGCCACCACTTGCATGAGAAAACAGATAACCAAGGCCCCCAAGAAATAGAAGCTCTGAACAAGAACTTCCTTTCTCAACAACTTCATGGTGTTGAGCAGATTGACTATCTGGCACAATAAGAAGGTGTTAAAGATCATGGTTTCTCTAACTTTTTTCTCCCGGTCAGTAACATGTCCCCCAAACTCAAGTATCATTGATACAGAAGTCTGATATAGTACCTGAATAGCAATGCTTTTCCAGATTTCATTAGCTATTATATTTTGGTTCCTGTGATCAGATGGTTGTTTAGCAAGTTGTTCCTCGTTGGTTAACTTCATTACCATCATTAGGCCACCCAGAATGCACACAAAAACATTCACCCAAATCAACTGGAACGGTGCAAGCGGAGAATCTCCAGTACAGGCTGTGATGAAGGTTATGACTAATCCTGATATGGTACATGTCAGCTGAAGTTGAATGAACTTCTGAATATTGTGGTATTTACTTCTGCCAGCTATCACAACGGGTTTCAATGCACTGAAGCATTTGATAGATATGTCACAACTATCTCTATCCACTCTTGTGCTTAAAGAATCAAGCACTATCCCCACGTCAGCTACTTTTAAAACTGAAGTAAGACTAGTTCTCAACCTTGACCCAATGAATGCAACCACCTTGCCTTTCTCTTGCAAGCACTGTATCATGAGAAGTTTGTCCTCAGGAAGGAATCTTGCCATTACATGGGCTCGATCCACTTCGACCAATCTAGCTTCCTCATTCAAATCTTGAAGTTGTTTACCTTCTAGCACAACATCATGTTCTAGTCCTAGTTCACGAGCAATGCCTTCCAGTTTCTCGATGCCATCCTCTGAGACCAGTTTGATCTGTACATTTGCAGCATTTCTGAAATTTTCCAAAGCTGATTTTATGGATTCTTGACTAGTTTCTTTCAGGCCTATCAGTCCAGACAAGATCAGTTCTTCTTGCCCAAGTTCTTCTCCATCTGTTTGCTTATAAGCAAAAGCAATTGACGTAAGACCACTATCCTCCATCTCTTTAATCACCTGCCCAAATTTGATTTTCTGATTTTCCATGGCGTGGCAATTCCCTTTACTGTCATGGTATCTCGAACACATCTCCAATATTGCGGATGCAGCTCCACTCCAGTGCAAGTGCAGAACTTCACTATCCCCAATTTTTCTCACCAAAACTCCACTGCCTTCTTTGCCAGAATTCAATTTGCTGTGCTTAAGAATGTCAAATTTTTCTTCTGTGAAAGATCTCATGGTCATTTCCCATGTTGTTTCTGCCCAACAAACAAGTGAATTGAACACAGGGGAAAGATAAATCTCAGGTGCTAGGACTGATAAACCAACCCCTAGTTTAAGCATGTCAAGCACTGGTTTTTCTGTTTCAGATCCCTCGACCATGCTGATATCTTTCTCTCCCATCCATATTCTTCTAACTTCCATTGGTTTAGATATGAGTTCCCCTGATACATCAATACAGATCACAGTTACCAACCCCATTGTCGTACAAGCGGACAAATCATTAAGAACTACATCTTGGTTTCGTACTTCCTTTTCAATCTGGTACTTAAGAGAAATGGTAACCACAAATGGCATTCCGTGCTGAACGCAAAGTATTGCAACAGTGACAAGACCTGTTAAAATGGAAACCCTTCCTTGGGGTCTTAGAAAAGTTCTCTCAAGGACTTTCATAAACAGGCCAATTGAGACCTTCCCTTTAATTTCTGGCAAGTCTGCATTGCTCCCATCTTTTCCACAAATTAGGCGAATTAACACCACAAATGCAACCAGTACAGAGATAGAAAGTGCAACCATGTCAATGTAAGAAATTGGCTTCTCAATTTGTCTTTCCAACAAACCCCTCCTTTCAGAATTACAGGTACCTATCTTAGCCAAATTGGTTTTGGTTGTAACTGATTTTACCAACATCCTTCCCTGGCCCCCGATCACCTTTGAACCAGATTTAAGAAACGAATTCTGCCCCCTCTGTTTGCTTTCTATATTATCAAGCTCAACCACAAAAAGGATGCCATCACTTTGGAGCTCACCATCTGCTGGAACCTCATCGCCTGGCCACAGGAAAACTGTGTCTCCCACCACAATATCAGATACGGGAACGGGAACCACTACGGACTCTTCACCTCGTTTCACTCTGAATTCCAACTCCTGCTTTCTCTCCTTCAATTTCAACTTTTTCCTCTCACAGAAAAAGTTTGCAACTGGTTTTCCCAGAACCAGCAGGACAAGAGCAAACAATATACCAACACCATCATGCCAACCATGTTTAGGTCCCTCCTGCTTGAAGTCTATGGTGAATGACAACCCAGCTGCAACCAACAGCACCAAGATTGTGCAGCGGTAGCATTTGTAGCTATTCAATAAAGACTTAAAAAAGTCAATTCCTAAAACTGTGTACGGTACAGTGGGGTTCCCCTCATCAACAGCACCGTGATCCTGTTCATAAAGACAAAATCCCATCAACAAAACACATCTCTCTCAACCCACACAGGAACAAAAGTTAGTAGATTCATCCTGAACACTTCAATAAACCAAAAATTTATAAAGTCAAGTTCGGTGAGTGTAAACCACAGGGAATCTACCAAACACCATCAAAACGACCAAATATATGGATGAATTGCTACCTATGTGTGTTGACGTTGACCACCAAGCCCAGGAAGAGAATTCAAGCCCTGGACCTTCACAATTCCATCAGTATCACTGCTAATGCACTCTTCTATATCAACTGTGACATGGTTACAACTGGAAGTTGATGGCTTCTTCACGGAGATGAGGAACCATATGTATAAACTCCTACGCCATATCCTGTTGTACTTCCCCTTGGTGAGGGTAGTAGAACCAAGTAAGGCAGCGCCAAGTTCAATGCTGGCACCACCATCACCACCAGCTGAGGACATACTTTCATAGGACATGTCTCTGACAGTTTAGTTAATTCCTTGTTTTGGCAGAAAGATGAAAAACAAGAACAAGAACAATGATTGGACAACCTTTTCTGGGAAAATAAATCCAAAAGTGGAACTTTTCAGACACACTTAATCCTCACAAAAAAACGCGGTGTTTGGTGTTTAGCAAGAAGGCAAAAAAACAATATTTTGACAGTATGTCCAATCTCAATTCTCTTGCACTCTCCAATCAACCACTCTTCATCTCTCTCTCTTTCTTCTGTGGAATCTCATAACTAGATGAGTCATGAGACCTTGAGACAGAGCATGTGTCAGAGACACTTCAAAAGATGCAATTGGAAAGTGAAACTCAATTGCTTGAATCAAGTGAGAGTGATGATATGATAATTTACACGAGGAAGGGAGGGGGATTTTATAGGCAGATGCAAGTAATTTTTGGACGCATTTTTTTAATTTTAAAATCATTTAGCAAACATAGCCGGCTTGGAAATTCTGAAGCAATTTACGATTACCGTCTTTTTTTTTCACGCGTCTTATAGATTTCATTTACAAAGCGTTTTAGTGCCAAACTCTTTGTGGCCATAAATATCTATACTTTTTTTCAAAATTATTTGGAAGCTCATCTTTAATTAATTAGTACCATAACCAATTTAACACTTTGTTAACTTTATTTACTTTAATTCAGGAATGAATTTGGAGATAGAGATGGAAAGAACTGAGACCATTTGAAGATAATTTTGTTTTATGTGGATTTTCAGATAAATAAAAATGAATTTGAAAGTAATTTCTTTTAATATGCTGTATCAATCAAATCTTTTATTAATTTTTACAAATTTTATTTCTAAATACACTCTTATTTATCTCAAAATTCACTCAAATAACCAAAACCTAAGTGATTAGAACTGTCATAATTGTAATATATAATTTATTTATTTATATTTTATCATATTATTTATATGCCATCAATGTAATGAATAATTATAAGTCCATAATTAGGTTCATAAAATTTATTTTTTATATAAAGATATTGATAAGGCAATAGTTTATACAAATTATGAGGCGCTTGAATTTGATTAACGACATTGATATTTTAAACTGGGTAGAAAAAAAAACATTGGTTTCAGTATTTTTCTCAATTTTGTTTTTCAAAAAAAAGTAATTAATAGTTATAGATTGGTAAATTTAAATACAATTTAAGTGTGTACGATAATTTTGTAAGTGAGTGAACTTTCACATGTGTCATTGTAAGATAAACTATAAAGTAACAAGGATTCTCATTATTAAGAATTTCGCACAGAGTATATGTATTAGCTAAATTAGAAGACAGGCTAGACTATGTTTTCTTGTTTTCTTGTCTTGCGTCAGTTTTGAGGTCATTCATTCCTTTATTCAAACATTCTAACAAATAACTTCATGCAAAACGCGCTTTGGACTACTATTCTCATTTCTCAGCATAAATTTAATTTATTGTGAATAGATGGTACATATATTTTTAGCACTTTTTTTATTGCTTAAAATGAAGTATAAAATATTAATCAATAAAAAAATATTAAAAGACGTGTTTGTAACAAGGTAGATTGAAATTCAATTCCTTTAGTTATTTGGTATCGTGCATGCTTTTTAGAACAATAATATATTCACATTATNCCCAATGAATGCAACCACCTTGCCTTTCTCTTGCAAGCACTGTATCATGAGAAGTTTGTCCTCAGGAAGGAATCTTGCCATTACATGGGCTCGATCCACTTCGACCAATCTAGCTTCCTCATTCAAATCTTGAAGTTGTTTACCTTCTAGCACAACATCATGTTCTAGTCCTAGTTCACGAGCAATGCCTTCCAGTTTCTCGATGCCATCCTCTGAGACCAGTTTGATCTGTACATTTGCAGCATTTCTGAAATTTTCCAAAGCTGATTTTATGGATTCTTGACTAGTTTCTTTCAGGCCTATCAGTCCAGACAAGATCAGTTCTTCTTGCCCAAGTTCTTCTCCATCTGTTTGCTTATAAGCAAAAGCAATTGACGTAAGACCACTATCCTCCATCTCTTTAATCACCTGCCCGAATTTGATTTTCTGATTTTCCATGGCGTGGCAATTCCCTTTACTGTCATGGTATCTCGAACACATCTCCAATATTGCGGATGCTGCTCCACTCCAGTGCAAGTGCAGAACTTCACTATCCCCAATTTTTCTCACCAAAACTCCACTGCCTTCTTTGCCAGAATTCAATTTGCTGTGCTTAAGAATGTCAAATTTTTCTTCTGTGAAAGATCTCATGGTCATTTCCCATGTTGTTTCTGCCCAACAAACAAGTGAATTGAACACAGGGGAAAGATAAATCTCAGGTGCTAGGACTGATAAACCAACCCCTAGTTTAAGCATGTCAAGCACTGGTTTTTCTGTTTCAGATCCCTCGACCATGCTGATATCTTTCTCTCCCATCCATATTCTTCTAACTTCCATTGGTTTAGATATGAGTTCCCCTGATACATCAATACAGATCACAGTTACCAACCCCATTGTCGTACAAGCGGACAAATCATTAAGAACTACATCTTGGTTTCGTACTTCCTTTTCAATCTGGTACTTAAGAGAAATGGTAACCACAAATGGCATTCCGTGCTGAACGCAAAGTATTGCAACAGTGACAAGACCTGTTAAAATGGAAACCCTTCCTTGGGGTCTTAGAAAAGTTCTCTCAAGGACTTTCATAAACAGGCCAATTGAGACCTTCCCTTTCATTTCTGGCAAGTCTGCATTGCTCCCATCTTTTCCACAAATTAGGCGAATTAACACCACAAATGCAACCAGTACAGAGATAGAAAGTGCAACCATGTCAATGTAAGAAATTGGCTTCTCAATTTGTCTTTCCAACAAACCCCTCCTTTCAGAATTACAGGTACCTGTCTTAGCCAAATTGGTTTTGGTTGTAACTGATTTTACCAACATCCTTCCCTGGCCCCCGATCACCTTTGAACCAGATTTAAGAAACGAATTCTGCCCCCTCTGTTTGCTTTCTATATTTTCAAGCTCAACCACAAAAAGGATGCCATCACTTTGGAGCTCACCATCTGCTGGAACCTCATCGCCTGGCCACAGGAAAACTGTGTCTCCCACCACAATATCAGATACGGGAACGGGAACCACTACGGACTCTTCACCTCGTTTCACTCTGAATTCCAACTCCTGCTTTCTCTCCTTCAATTTCAACTTTTTCCTCTCACAGAAAAAGTTTGCAACTGGTTTTCCCAGAACCAGCAGGACAAGAGCAAACAATATACCAACACCATCATGCCAACCATGTTTAGGTCCCTCCTGCTTGAAGTCTATGGTGAATGACAACCCAGCTGCAACCAACAGCACCAAGATTGTGCAGCGGTAGCATTTGTAGCTATTCAATAAAGACTTAAAAAAGTCAATTCCTAAAACTGTGTACGGTACAGTGGGGTTCCCCTCATCAACAGCACCGTGATCCTGTTCATAAAGACAAAATCCCATCAACAAAACACATCTCTCTCAACCCACACAGGAACAAAAGTTAGTAGATTCATCCTGAACACTTCAATAAACCAAAAATTTATAAAGTCTAGTTCGGTGAGTGTAAACCACAGGGAATCTACCAAACACCATCAAAACGACCAAATATATGGATGAATTGCTACCTGTGTGTGTTGACGTTGACCACCAAGCCCAGGAAGAGAATTCAAGCCCTGGCCCTTCACAATTCCATCAGTATCACTGCTAATGCACTCTTCTATATCAACTGTGACATGGTTACAACTGGAAGTTGATGGCTTCTTCACGGAGATGAGGATCCCTATGTATAAACTCCTACGCCATATCCTGTTGTACTTCCCCTTGGTGAGGGTAGTAGAACCAAGTAAGGCTGCGCCAAGTTCAATGCTGGCACCACCATCACCACCAGCTGAGGACATACTTTCTTGGGACATGTCTCTGACAGTTTAGTTAATTCCTTGTTTTGGCAGAAAGATGAAAAACAAGAACAAGAACAATGATTGGACAACCTTTTCTGGGAAAATAAATCCAAAAGTGGAACTTTTCAGACACACTTAATCCTCACAAAAAAACGCGGTGTTTGGTGTTTAGCAAGAAGGCAAAAAAACAATATTTTGACAGTATGTCCAACCTCAATTCTCTTGCACTCTCCAATCAACCACTCTTCATCTCTCTCTCTTTCTTCTGTGGAATCTCATAACTAGATGAGTCATGAGACCTTGAGACAGAGCATGTGTCAGAGACACTTCAAAAGATGCAATTGGAAAGTGAAACTCAATTGCTTGAATCAAGTGAGAGTGATGATATGATAATTTACACGAGGAAGGGAGGGGGATTTTATAGGCAGATGCAAGTAATTTTTGGACGCATTTTTTTAATTTTAAAATCATTTAGCAAACATAGCCGGCTTGGAAATTCTGAAGCAATTTACGATTACCGTCTTTTTTTTTCACGCGTCTTATAGATTTCATTTACAAAGCGTTTTAGTGCCAAACTCTTTGTGGCCATAAATATCTATACTTTTTTTCAAAATTATTTGGAAGCTCATCTTTAATTAATTAGTACCATAACCAATTTAACACTTTGTTAACTTTATTTACTTTAATTCAGGAATGAATTTGGAGATAGAGATGGAAAGAACTGAGACCATTTGAAGATAATTTTGTTTTATGTGGATTTTCAGATAAATAAAAATGAATTTGAAAGTAATTTCTTTTAATATGTTGTATCAATCAAATCTTACACTAATTTTTACAAATTTTATTTCTAAATACACTCTTATCTATCCCAAAATCCACTCAAATAACCAAAACCTAAGTGATTACAACAGCCATAATTGTAATATATAATTTATTTATTTATATTTTATCATATTATTTATATGCCATCAATGTAATGAATAATTATAAGTCCATAATTAGGTTCATAAAATTTATTTTTTATATAAAGATATTGATAAAGCAATAGTTTATACAAATTATGAGGCGCTTGAATTTGATTAACGACATTGATATTTTAAACTGGGTAGAAAAAAAAAAATTGGTTTCAGTATTTTTCTCAATTTTGTTTTTCAAAAAAAAGTAATAAATAGTTATAGATTGGTAAATTTAAATACAATTTAAGTGTGTACGATAATTTTGTAAGTGAGTGAACTTTCACATGTGTCATTGTAAGATAAACTATAAAGTAACAAGGATTCTCATTATTAAGAATTTCGCACAGAGTATATGTATTAGCTAAATTAGAAGACAGGCTAGACTATGTTTTCTTGTTTTCTTGTCTTGCGTCAGTTTTGAGGTCATTCATTCCTTTATTCAAACATTCTAACAAATAACTTCATGCAAAACGCGCTTTGGACTACTATTCTCATTTCTCAGCATAAATTTAATTTATTGTGAATAGATGGTACATATATTTTTAGCACTTTTTTTATTGCTTAAAATGAAGTATAAAATATTAATCAATAAAAAAATATTAAAAGACGTGTTTGTAACAAGGTAGATTGAAATTCAATTCCTTTAGTTATTTGGTATCGTGCATGCTTTTTAGAACAATAATATATTCACATTATAATTTTTCTTATATTTTTAAGAAAATTAGAATGGAGTATACATTTTTCTATCTCTCTATTTATCACACTGTTTATCATTAAATTGTTTCTTTTTTTTATTCAGTGTATCTCTTAAATATACTTTAGTCATTCATTAATCAATTATTTTCTGTTTGTTTCAAAATCATCTTTGCTTTGCCATTAGGAAGTTGATGATTAATGATTGTCAATGGATAGGATTGTAACCTGTATCACCTGTGTTTTATTTTTAATTTAAATATATAATTTATTATTTTTAAATTTTAAACAGAAAATGTTCTTCTAACAAAGCATAGATAAAACATATTTGCAACAGTGATAGTTATAATATAATTAACTGAAAAAATGTTTTATTATTTTGAAAGAATATTTCAAATTATATTTCAATACCAAAGTTAACACACATTATTTTTTAACTCTGATTATTATAGTATTTTTTCGCTTCTATCCTATATATATATATGTTAAGGAATTAACTAATAGTTTAATTTATTCCTCATTTTAGCAGCAAGAAGAAAAATAAGAACAACTTATTTTTTCCAGACATTCTTGATACTCACAAAAACAAATGTAGTGTTTTTCTTGAGGAAGGAAAATCAAAAATCAACTACTATTCATTTTTTTTCTGTAAATTTCTAGATACTTCTAGAAATGCAATTGAAAGATTAACTGAATATGATTCAATTTATAAGATCAAATTGGATGTGATACACGCAACTTTTTAAGCTTAATTATTTAAAAAAAAATGAAATTATAATGCAGTTTAATCTACGCGTTTTGCATTTTACGTTTTGCGTTTCTGATAAATGAAAAACACCATACGTGTAGTGAGAAATGAGAAGGCGCGTTCCAAACAATGCTTTAGTAAAAGTAAATAATCAATTATTACAAATTTATAATTGAATAACTATTTTTTCAATATGTCATATTCGGTTAATAATTATATTTTATAAATAGATATTAATAAAACATCTTTATTATATGATACATGCAAATGAATAACTATAAAATAAAATCAGATTTTGATAATATATACTGAAAATTAAAATAAACGAAACAATTAAAAAACTATACATAAATAAATTATTTTATTTTAATATATTTTTATTATAAACCTAATAATTTTTGATAATTGTTACACATTCTTTTGAGTCACGTCAATTCTAACTATTAAAACTTTATCTCGTTCTGCATTCAAATCTACTTACTTTCTTCAATCTAACTAATTTCAGTTTTCATTGACTTACTTTTCAGTTTCTTTTTCTTTTTTTCAATTCTTCAAATCCAAACAAAGTATTTCAATGTCGAACTGAGCATAATGTCCATAATCATTTTTTCTAAAATTATGCAGAAGCTCATTTTTAATTAACTCATACAGTAAAACATTTAAATGATTGTAATATATAAATTTTTTCTATTTATACTTTTTCATATTTTTTATATGCCATCAATGTAATGCATAATTATAAGTCCATAATTAGATTAAAAAAGATTATTTCTTATATGAAGTTATTGATAACCTGATGATTTATAAAGTTATAGACATGAATTTGATTGTACTAAATTGATGGCTTTTTAACTGCAGAGAGAGAAAAAAAAAAACAGTGATTGGTATTTTATTAATATATTTTTTTTTCAAAAAAGTCATTTTGTAAGTGAGTCAGTTTTCACATGTCATTGTAAGATAAATTATGAAGTGACAAATATTCTCTCATTATTATAATTAAAATAATATTGAGAGAACATTTATCTTTAATTATTATAAAAACGGTTGTCTTCTTATCTTTAATTATCTTACTTCATTTTTGAGTTCATTTATTCAAGCATGTTAGAACATTTATTGTGATTAAAATAAGAATGGTTGTACGCGTTTTTTTGGACTATTCTCATTTCTCATTTTATATTAAATAAAGGTTACTTATATTTCTAATTGCTATTTATTGTTTAAATGTACAAGAAAAGTTATAAATTACTGGTGAAATTCATTAAAAATAAAATAAAATTTGCAAATAAAAGTTATAATAATTTATTAGACATAAAGTAATATATACACATTTTATAATAAATATTAATCGATAAAAAATATTAAAAAACATGTTAACCTTTGTTCTTAATCCAAATTAAGAAGGTAGATTGAAAAGCACTTCTGAAAAAAAATGATTTCAGACTCTTTTCTATTAATATTTTTTTTATTGCGTATATTTTTTGAAAACAATGATATATTATTGACACTGTATTTTTTTTTATATTTTAAGAAAATTGGAATGGAGTATATAATTCTTCATTTTTCTATCTTTGACTCTTCCTCATCGAAATGTTTATTTTTCCTTTCCGCGTATATCTTAAAGTGCATTGTGTTATTCATAAATCATTACTTTCTGTGTTCGTTGCAGAATCATCTTGCTTTGGGATTAGGAAGATCCTTCTTGTGTATTATGAGTTGATGATTAATGATTGAAAATGGATAAGGTTGCAACTTAAAATGTGTAAATAATACATAGTTTGTTAAATTTATTTTTAAATTTTAAACTTAAAATGTTATCTAAAATAATCTAAACAAAATATAGATATTAAAACTTAGGTGCAATTAGGAAGAAAATAAATGTGTGAACAAAATATCATTAGTATAGATTAAAATATAAAGTATAAAAGTATTGATGTTGTTATACAACTAATTGAAAAACTATGGTTATTGATTATTTTGAATGAATATTTAAATCATACTTTAATACCAAACTTAACAACATGATTTTTCAGCTCTGGTTATAATACTTTTCTTTCTATCGTATATACAAGCTTCATTAGTACTTACTAATGTTATACTTTACATTCAAGTGTAAAGTAAGTTAAGTTAATGGAAATACACTATTTTTGTTAAAGGATAATATGTATATTTTTAATATAATTAAAAATAATTCATATTGCTTATTTATTGTCTTTTCAATTTATACACATGATTGAAAGTTATATCTAAAATTTATTATAATATTTTATTTATAAATTTAACTATCGGTGGCCTTTAAAATAAAAACATTTATTTCCTTTGCAGAAACGAAGTATTTAACTTTGTACACTCAAAAATGTTATATATTTAGAAGTTAAAAGTAATTTATAAACATTATTTTCTCAATTCTTGAAAGTATCTTTAAAAACAAAACCATACACACTCACCAAACAATAATTTAGAAAATGATATCTCATATAGTTGATGGTTGAATTTGATAAATTATATTGATTATCTTAAGGAACTTTGACGTCAAAATTTTTTTTTTTAAATAATACGCTCGTAAATGTCATATTGCTTATAATTTGACCTCAAATTTTTGTACTGGGGGATACCTTCAACCTTAGAGAAGTCACTAACACCAGAGACACACCTAGCACATGGAAATAATGCAGTTGATTTAATAAGGTGTGGTTAATTTTTATACTTTTTTAATATAAAAATTGGAAAGAAACAAAAAGAGTATTGTAGGATGAAAATAATATAAAGAAAAGTAGTGGAAAATAGAGTAAATAAATAAATCACATGAAAATACTTCTATATTAATTTTTTCATTTTTTTTCATTTTTCTTAATATAAAACTATTTATTATTTTTAAGAAAACAAAAATATAAAAAATATTCTAAAATGAAGTTAATGTCGTGTTCCGGACGGATGAACATAATTTTCCACAGCAGACCACATTTATTAGCCGGCATTTACTTCCTGCACTCAGCTTTTTCGAAACTTATTTTCTGAAACACAATAAACGATTTTTGACGTCAAACATCTCGTTTTACGAAAAACATTTTCCGAAGATTTTGTTGTGGGTGGGAGAAGAAATTTGATGAGGTGAAAGAAGCAATTGCGTTATTTGCTTCATATGTATTTTAATAACATAAAGTCAATAATTTTCATCATCCTTAATTACTCTTAAACAATGGCATTAAAAATCCAAACCCATAGGCACAACAAAAAACATAGTTACCAGACTTTCTGTTCTATTTCCCTTTATTTTGTATCAAGTTTTTCTATTCTCAAATTTCAGTTTCAAGGTTGGTAAATCAGTGATAAGAAATATGTTTCTATAGAAATTTATGAAACGCATTATGAGAAACAAATCTAGGACATCTCACCGATGTCCAAGAATGAAAAGATTTGTCAATATTCAAATATTTAGATTGGATGACAGTTTGAGTCACTGGGCACATTTTTAAGCACTTGTTTTCATTTTCAGTTAATATCCTTTCACCAGTGATAAAAACACCATCTTTTTTTCATTTGATGTACCTGCAATGATATGATCCAGTTAATTTCGATTTCAATATCAACAATGTTATTTGCAAGGCATTTTAATTGCCCCATTCTTACACTGCTCTTTTTGTTTTGAATATAGAAAAAAATCACAATTTTTCATTTACCAAACAATTATGTTTCAGGGGTAGTATGCAAAAACCGTATGCAAGGAAGCATTTCACTTTCGATATTGGCGCGTAATTTGTTGTGATTACGGCATTACCATTCACCAATTTGCTCATGCAGGTAATGCTGGGAATGCAGTGCATGGAAGAGGAACGATCACAACAACAAATGCATATTCCAGATGTCATGCTTGTGCACAAAACCTACACCAACTTGTTAGGAATGATCTCTAGTCACGCTAATCCATTGGGGAAGGCCCTTCTTCCATTCTCATGTCACCACCATGTTCGCTACCAAGCATTATTGCCATTAGCATAAGTTTGCCAGCATCTGCAAAATCCTTGTGCTGCATTAATATTGTTTCAACTGAACCGCCTTCCATGTTTTCTTGCCTCAAGGGCAATACTTGGTCAAACCCTTCTTCAAATGTTTCACTTCGAGGTCCATAACACCTACTTGAAGCCTGGAAAAGTATGGTATTTTTCAAGTTTTGCAGAATTTCCTGGTCACTCCATCCTTCAGCTCTGTTATGAATCGTGGAATTTACTCCAATCATCCTGACTAGCAGCTTTTTTCCAACAATCCTCCCAAAAGGCTTTTGTTTATCTTCCGAAACGAGGAACTAGTCCATGCAAAAACGTCAAAGGCCCACAGAGTTAACTCTTGATCTTCACTTTCCAGACACAAGTTAATCAAGTCTAGAGGATTGAAGCGGCTCATCTTGAAATAGTTGCGTATCCTCAATGGATGAGAACGCTTCATTACTTCCTCCTACAGGTTAAAGCACAAAAAGAAGGATAAAGAGGAGTTTTAAAAAAGTGCAACAAGGCTTATTTACCAGCGCAAACCAAGTTCTCTCAGAAAAAAGTAAATATTAACTCACTAATATAATATCTGAAGGGCAAATAAAACAGTTACACAAGACTATATGCAGAAGTCGCTCAAACTTACCTGTAATTTTAGAATCTTCAAATCAGCCTCAATGCGGTCGACCTTGACTTGAGTACCAGCATCCTTGCCAGCTGTACCAAAGAAAAGGATTTATTTATAGCAAATGCAATTTATTAATATCAATTCATCCAAAAAAAGAGTAGAATTTAACTTACTAAATATGGAAACAGTACAGATTAAATCATAATATACACATAAGGTGCAACCTCAACTTATAAAAATCAATTTTGAGATTAAATTGGGCCTAAACCTACTTATTAATATGGTATCAGAGTCTATTCTAATGAGTTTTATCGGGACTATCGCATCACCTGTTATAGGGTTGCTATTATTTACCCACAAATATCTAATCGCACACTAGAGGTTCAATCCTTGGCCGGAGAAGGTGTGCTAGAGATTTTACGTCGATTAAAATAAAGTCAATTTACAATATATAAGTAAATACAAACATCACCTTGCACGTCAATAACATTAGGTTTAAAGTTCACTTCCTAATACCAAATCTTATCCAATGATTTTAGACACAACTAATTTGAACAAGATATAAAGCTTTGTCACGCATATCATGGCACAATCAATGAACAAACAACACAACAACTTTTTCTACATTAAGTGGCATTGGTCATGATTTTAAACACTCAAGATGTTAGTACAGGAACATATTTGTAGTAGAAGCAAAATGTTGAAATTATGGGGATTAACGTATGAGTAGTCAAACTGATTTAATATGATACTGTACAAGGCACTGGTCCCTAGTATACTTGTAAGTGACCCTTCATCCTGATTAAATAAAGTAAATAAGGAAACTAATCCGAGGTACTAAAGTATTATTAGTACAAATCTATACGATACAACCAATATGATATTAGATATTTTCCATTTAGCTTACTACAACTAGACATAATAGCATGAGAACAAAAACGAAATTCACGTTATCAGAGATCACAAAACTACTCATCTGAGATAGGATCATGGGCAGATCAGACCACACATCAGCAAGGGCTAAACTGAAAGCGATATAGGAGATAGAAAAAAAATGGAAACGACCAGCCTACACTTTCAGCAGGGCCAAATCGTATCTGAAATTGAAGACATCAAATAAAGAGATACCAAACTCCACATTACACAGAGCAAAAATTATAAGAGAGATCAAAGACCATATTGCACATCTAGATGGGTTAAATTGCAATCTGGATTGAGCCAATATATGGAAAGACAGGATGAAAATGGAGCTAATCCACGGCAAGATAGGATGAAACAAAGCCAGTCTTTAAATAGAGAGGATAAGACAGAGGAAACTGGAATGGACAACTCACAGAAGAAAAAGAGCTAAAAAAAATTCAAGGCAACAAAGGATACTTTTAATATATTCTAATGCAAATTAAAGTTTTCTAACATCTAGATAATCACCAATTCCCAAAAATAAATAAAAGTGAAAAAAGGCTGCAGCCTTTATAGTAACAGAACATTAAAAGTTGAGTGCAATCATAAATTTAATTCCAGTTTTCTGGAAAGAAAAACAAAATCCAAATCTCACATGTTACTATCAGAATTTGAAGGAAGAGATCTAAAGAAATATTAAATAGATGAAGAGAAAGGAAGTAATCTCCATAACAGTTGAAAAACACACAGCACTATACCTGCAAAGGCAGCAATCTTAGATAGATATAAAAGATTTTTTCTGTCAGTCAATTTTAGTTTCATCTTCGGACACTCCTGTTCTCCTTTCTCTTCAGCGACTGAATTAGAATGCATGTTTTGTGTGAGCGCCAATGTGTGAAGTGATTCTGAAGCAGAGGAAAATTGATGAAGGAACAAATCATGAAGCCATAGAAGATCTTGATACTCCCTCAGGAAAATGGATAGCTCTTCGGGAAATTCTTCCCCTAGCCTTAAAAGTTGAGAAAATTGTCTGCTTTCATGGAGTTTCTTAAAGACATAGTAACTAAATCCCCCATCGAGTCTCAGGCTTCATGGTGCACACAAACCGTAGAGACATACAAGAATACATTTCTGAAGAAATGGATATCCTAAATATTAATTTTCCAGTAACCAAATTTTTCGTGAAAGGCCAAAGTTTTTTATTGACATTGGGGGTTGTCAGATGTAACTGAAAACGACTTAGTTACTACTAGTAACTCATTTCAGGCGTTGGTCACAAATAAGGCCATTTTTTTGTAAATAAAAATGTTACAATGTGCTTGAACATTGGAGAAGAATGTCATAAAAGAAATTTCCATATATTAAAAGAAATTTCCGGATGCCTGGGTAACATTTGTTTGCATCGTCTTCCTTTGGAGCTCGTTCATATAATATATAAAGGTTTTAAATAGAATGAAGGAGTACGGAGCTGTAAAAATTTGGTGGAACTGTGAGGTCTGCGGTTGATTCTTAATTAATAGACCTTTATTATTTTAAGAGGCATTTTGTGTTCTGACTCTAGCTCTAGATCAGGATAATACCGTTACGTTGCTTCCTTTTGACAATAGTTTTAGAAGTGCAAATATTTCTTCCCAGGGTCTTTTCAAATCCTAAGCCCCAATTAGTAACAGAATAAATTAGTAACATAATATTTGGGTTGATATGCTAAGAAAACAATCACTGAATTTGCAAACACCTAGAAAAGAGGGAACAAAAGTAACATGGGTGTCCAACATGACAACAATGAATAAAATCAGTCATACCATAATATTTCTCAGTAATTCCGAATCATTCACATCACAACAAATTGTCCACATAACTTTGTAACATCCATGTCGTTTAGCAATTGATAGTAGAGATTGAGTAAGCTTCATTATGGTCTCGTCATTCTGCTCTCCAGCTACTTCAAACGAATTGTACATTAGACCAATTGAACAACATATATCAATTCCACACCAGGATTGCAAGGATAACGTAAACAAAATAAAATAATAACCTTGTGAGCCTCTTCAAATTCTTTAACTTTTTGATATAGAGATTCAAGAAGGGTGTCTCGTCTCTCCCAGTATTCATTTAACAGACCTTGGCGTTCTTCTCCACGCTCACTCTTTGCTGTAACAGCTCCAGAATATGCCTCAAGCAGAACTTCAGTTAGTGCTTCCAAATTATTATACAAGTCCAATTTTGAGGTTTTATCAAGTCCAGATGTTTCACTTAACAAGTGCAGCAGGACAGAAGCAACACTCCAAATCCCAGTCCGTACAATAGGTTGACAATACCAAGGAGTTAAACCCTAGAGTGGAGGATACCCTAATCTGTGCTCATCTTATAGTTGAAGCATGTCCTAATTACGGTAACACATGCAGTAGAGAGTTCACATGCCCTTGGATCTGGATCATTAACAGGTGTTCCGGTCTTATTACATATTCTAACTCTTTATCTAAGCAGTAGAAGAGATCTTCAAGATCTGAAACCTTACTGTAGAAAACTTCTGCATTATCTCTATCCATCAAAAGGACAGTGTTTCGACGAGCTCGCTCACCAACTAACTGTATCATGTCCCAAAGGGCACCTGACATCTGAATGTCCAAACTAGAATTTGGAGGAGTCAACATTAGTTGATCGATTTTGGCTGATCAGATTTTGTAGCTCCCTCAGCTGAATCATTGCAGATAACTTTTCACCATGCTCTAAAATAATTTGCAAGGCATGTCCTGGCAACCAAAAAAGCATCATATAGTCATGTTATATCCACTTGTTGTCAATGTGCTGCTCTTATCTTGCATTTTACCTAAACCTATAATTATTTATTCACTGCCTTAATCTATACATCAATTAAAAAGATTGGCAGATTCATAAATTAACAAAATCATAAATAATGTGTCTTCACATACGATCCCACCCTACGAAGTCAAACAACAAGAATTAAGAATCCATGTGCATACCTAAAATCTAAATTACAAAAGGCATCTAGTCAACAACCGAATCTATTTTAGGATAAGCTTACTCTTTTTTTAAAACTAACATGTGAGGTTAAGAAATAAGGAAACTAAGCCTCTAAGCATTTAGTCACAGCATAAACCTCATGCCTTTCATTTTTTTCAAACACGACGCAGAGTCAAAGGAGCATTAGATGATACTTGAGATTATATTCATATGCATTTCAAGCAATTTATAAAAGTCAAAAAACTATTAGTGAAAAAACACTCTGTGGCATTACTTATGATATACTTAGCATAAAGTCATCCTTAAAAGTCTAACTATTTTACCATCAGCACAATCTGTAACAAATAGTTCGAAGGAGGCAGCTCATTAATTTTACTTTATAAAGCAGGTTGGCAGATAAATTAAGCATATACGGAGTCAGATATCCACATCATGTAACAACTAAATGTTTGAGGATCAAATAACAGTAAATGAACTTTTGGTGAATAGACTGCAGAATTCATACTCTGCTTAGAACACAGCTCTTCGTGGCATTTGGACAAGGCAAGAAAGTGAAGAAACTTTTCATGTTTCTGCTGCTTTTCTAAGAGTTGGGTGGAAACAACAGCCATGGCTAAAATCTCTGCACCTCTGGTAGTTGTCCAGTGTTTAGCTAGGGTGTCTACAATTGATTTGCTCATCCGTACAAAAACATTGGTTTCGCCATCCCTTTCAAATGAACCAGAAGTTTCTAGCTTTTCAAGAGACCTATCAATTTGACCAGATGATAAAAATTCATTGAAAAGATTATTCAACAAAGCTTCTGATTCTTCATCTAGAGCAATTCGTCGTCCAATCCCACTCAAAACCGTCCTCTGTTTATCCCCAGCACTCCATGCTTCAGAGCTAGCCCTTCTGGGAGCAACATTAGCTGCAAATGTAAGATTTCTTATCTCTTCTTGTGCAGATCTTTCATTAGAGCTGCCTTTCCGAGATAAGCTTCTCTCAGGTGGTTCCACCCCTCCAAGAATGACAGCTTTCTCTGGTATTGCCCATATTCCTGCTTTCTCTGTCAATACAACCCATGCACCTTCTTCATAATCATCTGCAGAAGGAAGGATTGAAGCATCTAGCACTTTACCAGCATCATAGGGTAAATCAAACTGATAGAGTCGTGTAGAGTTTCTATAATAATGGGAGACAGTTGCTGTTCCATCCCCAGATATTATGACTGCAGAGCCTGGAGGATTGCCCCCTATCCGAAGCCTCATGGAAAACAAGAAATCCTCATCTTCAACTCTAGCTTTTGGCATTATCACCTCAAAAGGGGATTTTTTCTCCAAAACCTTGTCATTTGTTGTCTCTAAACCCAGCACTGATTTATATTGCATGGTAAGGAGAGAATACTGCATGTAGCTTGAACTGCTAATTCGGTCATTGCAGAAGGTTGCAACAAGAATAGTAATGACTTTACCATGATCATCTACTTGCATATCAAGAGGCCATATTCTCTTTTGACCAGCCAGATCCTTCTTAATACCAACCTCAGCATCAGTTCCAACAATTTCCTGAGACCAAAGCTTAGAAACAGGTATATCACAATCAAACTCTACTTTGAAACACTGTATCTCATGGTCCGTCAATATCAAGAACTGCCTATTTGTCTCCTGAATAGAATAATGCGGGCAACCCCAAGTCAGAGACCTTGGGTACCCCACATTGCTCACAGTTTGAACTGATTCACCCCGTTGAGGTTGGAAATGCATAATATTTTCAAACACTTTCCTTCGGTCAATGCCAGTAGGAGTGCATTGAAACTGCCAGAGCTCACCACTTGAGCTACACGCAAGGGCAACACATGCAAACTTACGATTGGGAACGCTAGAAGCAATCATTGAGTTAAACGTGAACAATCCACTCAAACCACTTGCTAGTTTACTTTGTCGCCGCTGCCTGTTGAAGGAAGCTTTCCCATCAGAAGTAAAAACAGCCCGCAGCTCACTGGCAGATGCTATACTAGTTACCGGAGCAAGCGGCTGAGAATAAATGTCTGGCCAATAAAAAACAGCCCGAGTTTGACAATTACACAAAACTACAGCAGCAGAGGTGCACTGTTTGGCAACTCATTCCTTCCCATAAACGCGACATCACAATTAACAACACGAAGCAACCAACTACCAGCGTCATTTATGCTAACGTCACCATCATTCAGAGGAATTTCAAGGATCACACATTTCACGGAGGATGCCGGGGACAGATAACTCCATAGGTAGACCCTGTTCCCGCAAATAATCCAGGCGAGTGATGTGCACTTGTCAATCCCACCACACGCGCGATCATTGGCTACATTGCGTTACACCATAATTTCAAACACATCAAACTAAATTTACTTCAAATCTGAAGGAATTAACACACGTGCCAACTAACGCATAAAGAGACAAGTCAAATTGTTCTCACCAGGCATTCCTGTGCAGCAAAATATCTGCTCATCTCGAACCACTTGCGGAAACTCGCCGACGAAAACAGGTTTGGTAGGATCAGCGTCGTCTCCTTTTCCACTTCGGTTGACCTGAGGAACCCTACGCAAGGAAAACGAAAAAGAGTCAGAAGCAGAACGCGATTTTCGAGGCAGATTTCGGCAAAGAAGCGAACGAACGAGTACCTAGCAAGGACAGATAAACGAGGAGCCCAAGGAGCAGGAGTGCCGGAGCTAGGGCGATTTGGAACGGCGCTGTCGTTGAAAGAGGCTCGTGCAGGAGTCACCGGAGAATCTGCCACCGCCGAACCGCGACCTTGCTCTCTCCGAACGCGAGCATTGCTCTTCTTCGTTCCGCAAGAAAACATGACGATCACTTAGTAGCGCCAGATGTTAGGGTTTATGGGGTTTTCGCCATTTGAATCACGAGAGGGAAAAGGAAGACATGTTCCCACAAGCCAGATTTCTGTAACTTTTAAGTGTAATAAAATATCTACTCATAACGTCTTTATTTTATTTTTTACAATACTTCTACACTGAAAACATAATACTTGCAATGAAAGGCCAAACATATCTTTAAATATTTTGATTCATACAAACAAACTTTAGTGTTCGTAACATCCAAATTAAAATTATTATTATTATTATTATCTATTTAAAAGGTTTATATAATAGACAGAGACAAACTACTAGATTTTAATTGGTTTTGAAAGATTTAATGAATAAATTTGCTTGTTTTACTTTTAAAACTTTCACTTTCTTTGGTTTTGGTAGACAAATGTGCATAAATGACTGGAAAGAAATACCGGTATTATTTTTTATATAAAAATCGTTATTTTTTTTTACGGGTTAAGTTAAAATTTAAAGAAAAAAAATACGCATTCATATTGAAAACTAATTTTAAGCGTCAAATGTAAAACTATTTTATGGTGTCAATTGTCAAATTTATTAAAATATACAAAATTAGGAGTAAAATTCATTAAGGTACTCAATTTTTAAAAATGATTGGATTTGATTTGTTTAATTTAAATTGTGCCCATTAGTTTTAAAATTTTAAATTGCTAGTTTTTGTAGCAACTTAATTATATAAAAAAATTAAATATATATTTAAAAACGAAATATTAATATTCAAATTTAACAAAAATATTGGCTAATTTTAAAAAGTTAACCACAAAAACGATATGAAATAATATTTAACAATTAAAATATAAATATTATCACATTTTACATTAATATCAATAAAAAGAAAGATAGAAAAAGATTAATGAAAAAAAAAAGTGGAACACGAGATAAGGAAGAAAAGTAAGAGAAAAAAAATCATTATGAATGAGGAAGAGGATAAGAAAGACCATGCAAAGAGGTAGAGAAACAAAACGACATGGAGAAGAAGAAAAAACATGAAGATGAAACAAAACTATACACTAGGTTCAAATTCTTTACTTATATTTGATTTAAACAAAATAATGCTTTTAAGAAAAAAAAAAATACTCTCTTATGTTTTAATAGTTACAATATTTTTTATTAAACACCTAATCATTTTTCATTTGTCATTCATTACCCTTAACAATTATTAGAAAAAATTATTAATAATTATTAAAAAATCATTATTAATAATATATCCATTCAACGCAAAAACCACTTTGTATAACCCTATGAATGAAAACAGTTGAAATAGATAAAGGAAGCAACATTTTGTTTACTTTCTGTTGCAGTTCAGAAATGAGAGATGAAACTTAGACATCAAGCACATGTGCACTATTTTCATTCTCAAGGTGACAAATTTATGAAAGTGCATAGTAAAAAGATATGGCAAAAATGAAAAGTGGATAGTAAAAAGAGATGACTAAACCATTAAAATGTACAATTTTCTTTTTCAAAATTATTAAAATGAACAGATTTCAAATATTTTTTTTTCAAAATTATCAAAATAATCAGATTTAAAAAATTTACAAAAATAGGCAAGTGATACAACTTCATTACAAAAATATAAAAAATTTACAAAAGTAGGTAAGTGATACAACTTCGTTACAAAAAAAATAGTATCGATAACTGTAGTTCAGTGTATTTTAAATTGAAATTATCAAGTTAACACTATTTTACTTTAGTTTTTGACAGTGACACGATTTCAATTTAAATTCTTGAAATGAAAATATCAATCATTTAACTGGTATAAAGAAACTACTACTGATACAGAGAAATGAAGACGTACAAATATGGGGTATTAGAAAATGAAGAGAAACGGCATATATAGTATTTTCGTTCACATATAATAGAATACATAATTACACAGCACTGGAAATTAGTGCACAAGGATCTTCTACAACATAACAGTTCTCCAGAGGAGAAAAAACAACCAGGTTTTGGAATCCAAAGAAAACAAAAATATATATATAAAAAAGGGCTAGAAAAAGTTCTTTCCTATCTTTTGTTTTCTAGGCAAAAAGAAATTTGCTATACGTACACTGGTACAGTTGGAGAGATTTTTTGTATCATGGTTCCAGCTTCAAGGAAACAACTCTTGATTGTCTGTTGGATTTTGCAACCTTTAAGAACACTGTGGATAGGCATGCCGGTGCCCACCATGGCCGCCGCACCTTCTGCTCCCCTTTCAGACAAGCCACTACAGACACCAACATGGCCTTTCAAAGGTTAGGAGCAGGTAACAGATAAAGCCATTTTCTTCAACTTTACTGGGGTAAACACCCACTTCTCTCTTTTAGTGTTATCACACAGGAATATATCATCTTGCAAGAAAAGTCACAACACAACAAACACAACAGGCATAATGTACATTTCATGTCTCTTATATATAAACTGTCACATGTTTAGGAATGGACGTCTTGACAATCATGTTCTGGATGACTTCATCCTGTATAATAATATCATTTGGTCCTTTAAAAAATCGCTAATTTCATATTTGATTCAGCCATGTTTTGTTACCGAAATGATTCCTCTGATAGTCTTATGTTTGATTTTTGGTGTTTAACTGTATTTTTATGGTAATTTTTTTTAGCATAGCATTCAGCAGGAATTTAGCATGTCTAACACCATATTAATTAATAGAATGACGTGATCATAGGATAAATTCCTATTAGATATGTGTGAAAAGCTTTCCATGCATATAATTTAACTCTCTTTTTTTTTTTCCATTTGATCATTCTTAAATGTTACAAAAATTTCATTTGATCTCTCTACACCAGAGACCAGGTAGAAAAATCTTTATATTTAGAGGAACTAAATGAGAAGAAACTCATGATATATACATGAGCCAAATAAGAAAGAAATACTGCACAACTATTTATATTTTTCACTTGGTAAAGAAAAATGTTTAACAGGAACACTAATTTGAAAGAAAAATGTGAAAACAAATTGGAAAATCACAAATGATTTTAGAGTTTAAAAAACCATATATATAAGGAAGGAGAACTTTTTAGAAAATGTAATTCACAGCTTGTCTTGATGCTGCACAATATAGAGAATTATGTGCTATGACGAGACCCTTTAATGGTTGATGTTTGTGATGAAATGACAGCAGTACCAATAACTAATAGACAAGTTATCTAAATTCTAGATATATCTCACACTAATACATCAATATTAGACCCCTACTTTAATCATTCTTCTAGTATATCCATGTTTCCTTATAGATTGTTCAAATAGCGGAAAATGATTGTGACAACATCAATGATCATGCCTTACCAGGGGAGGAGCACAAAACAGATAGGTAAAAATGAAAATGTTCAATGAAAGTTTATTGGCAAGTGTTTGTCTGTTTACTGTTTAAAAGGGGAGAAGAGAGAGAAAGAGAGAGAACCTTTAATCCGTCTCAATTCTTTGCACAATGTGATGAAGTCTCCCCACTTCATGTGGCAACGTCTTATAAAACGTAGGATCTGTTCAGTCGTAAACATGGACATGCCCTCCAGGTATTCTCCATTAACACCATTTTCTTTAAAAATTTGGCGGTAACTACCAAGATTTATAGTCTCCAACCACAAGCCAACATCCTGGTAAAACACACGAGATAGCACGAATTCAGATGTTAGTTCAAATGATCGGTTACATTTTGGACTCTGCTATGGAGATGCACTATATGTATGATATGCTTGTATAACAGCACCCGGATTTTATATTCACCAAGCTTAGATCGTTCTCAACGTAACTCTTATGTAATTTGAGCTATTCATAATGCAGTTAGCAACACAAATGAATTAAAAGAAAATATGTGGAAGCATTCCAGTCTAGATAATATCAGTTATTAACTGTGCATCAATTACATTAAAGAGTCTAGACCTGTAAAACAGTGCTGAATAAGCATCTGCTAAACACTTGACAACACATAACTAGAAACATACACAATACATGAGTAAAATAATACTGCAATCTTGGGACCTTCATAAACACATCAAAGGAGAACTACGAGCTGATATCCTGTTATCTATAGTGTTTACACTTCAGATATATGGGCTTAAAAACATACTTAACGGAGTAACTGACAACAAGGATAAACCACTGAAAGATGAACATTGACTAAGGGCATAATCAAGATAAATAATAAAGTTTCAATCTAGTTTCAGATGCTATGTTTCCGAAACATAGTTACAACAGCAGAGTCCAAAAATCCAATGACCATGGAAAGAAGAATATAGCTTTGCAGGAACTCATCAAACGAAGATTTACACCTACGGTGTGCTGCAAAAAAAGGGTAACCAAGCATTCAATGTAATATATTATTTTCTCGATAGAATATTAAACCCCTCACTTTTGTAATGATCTTAGAAACTGCGAATGTCAAACTGAAGAGTTGAACAAAATTATCTGGCAAGAATTGAAGACTCTGTATAAATACCAGATAACTTGTGACAAGAATAGGAAGAAGATGAGATTCAGAATTAAACGAAATAATGCACACATAAGCTTGATTAGTCAACTATTTCCAAACTGAGAAGGACTTGAACATCATCCACCAAATTTCCAACTTGATCAGACAACACTATGTTCAAATTTTTCGACACATAAGAACAAAGTTAAATCTCCACTTTTACTTGCTACAAATGAGCATCACAAAAACAGACTACCACAGAGAAAGTTGAAGTTATCAACCCAAACAATAGTTAAACTAACTGTGACAAGAAACCTAATTACATGTTAAAAGAGCAAATCACATAAAGGAGATCACAAGGAATAGTTTTTTATTTTAGAAAGTAAATAATACATGAAAATAAGTACATCGATTGAGTAAGGGAGATAAATGATTAACCTCAACAGTCCAGATGAAGAAATCAAGAGGCTCCGGTGACTGTCCTTTGTTCATTTCCCAAATCAAACTTCCCCAAATAAACCTGAACAGAGGTCAAACAGCTAATCAAAACCCTCCACCAAAAGAAAAAAAACATTTTTAGTGGAGAAAATTCATAAGTAACTTTCCCCAGTTAAGTAACCGAAAAGGGGTCGATCTGACAATAAGAATATTGGTCAAGCAGCTAAAATGGAAGCTCCAATTGCAAGATCTCAAGGGCCATTCATGGAATTAAAGGAGAAATCCAAAATAAATAAATAATATAGACCAAATATGCTGCTTACCAGTTTGCGAGAGTAAAACTCGGGTAAAGATTAAAAAAGAAAAAAGAAAATCTACGTTTGATGTAAGAAAGAAGACATGGAGAGAAGGAGAGAGAAAGTGAGTGGTGTGGTGTGGGAAGTCAGAGAGAGAACAGGGGAAAGAGGGAGAAGTCTTTTTTCTTCAGCTCATGCTTCGTGTTAACGCATCTGCCACTCACCACGCGACTCCTCTGCATCATAGGCCACGCGCCAGCTTTGCCACTTGCCACTCAAATAAATAATTGTATTTGCTTCAGATTTTGAGCAACATTATTGATAAATCATGTAATTTTATTGCCAAATCAATCATGATTTTGATGTTTAACCGCCTAAATAACTTTTAATTATAAAATTTCCTAATAAGTCTTTGCAATTGATTAAGTGTTATTTTATGACAAACTTCGTAAATATATATTTCGCTGTCATTTACTAACTCTAAAAAATTCAGAATAATTTTAAAGAAAAAAACTATTCAGTTAGAGAAATAGTTAAATTCAATAAAATCATCGAATAACTCGTCAATTCATGTTCTTGATTTATTTTCTATTCTATCATGGAGGTAATCAACAAAACGTTAATTAATTTTGACATAACTCGCGTTGAATAACATATTAACTTGAGTTAAATAGTTATTAATTAACGAAAAAAAATCATTGAAATTAAGATAAAGATGCATCAATATAAAAGAATTCATAGTCAATCTAATGTTTTACAACGGAGATTTCTCCCTATACCTGCAATTATTTTTTTTCATATATCTCCTTTTTTTTTTGCAAAAATTTCATAATTAATCTTAATATTTTTTTTAATTTTTTCTCTTTCCTAATAAACTTATTTTACCTTTAATAGATTTCAAAATTAATTAACATTTTATCTTCGAACATATTTAGTCACATCTAAATGTAATTTTTTTTTCTAATGATGCTTTTAGGGTCATCATCTCTTTGTGTCTAAGATGGTGGTTGTTGAGACTAACCAAAAATTCTTCCTCAGACGAATTGACAAAAGCATTAATAAGAAGGTTTGGAGGAAGAATAGATGTTCGGTATTTGAAAATTTGAGAAAGGTGAACTAGAGGAATATATACAAGAGTTTAGATGTTAGTCGGACAAGCAACAAACTTGATAGAAGAACAATTGATGGGATTTAATGATGAGTTTCATTCAAGGAAGAAGAAAAGTACTAATAAAAGGGAACCCTCCTTAGCAAAAAGGGTTGTCACACCACAACGTTATTAAAAGAACCGAAGATTGAATTGGTAACATTGGTATGAGATATGGAAAGTGCTGAATTGGAGGGAGGGTCTGATATACTAAACCAATTAGCACAAAGCCGGAAGAGATTTTGAGAACTTTTGAGGGAATTTTCAGTGCACCACAGTGGCTACCACCCAACTGACTTTTGAGGGAGATATTCCTAAAACGATTTTGTGCACACACTAAGGACATTATGAACTTTTGGTGATGTCTTTTGGGTTGTCTAATGCCCCTATCACGTTTCAAAGTGTTATGGACACCATTCTTAAGAGGTTTTTAAGGAAGTGTGTGCTTGTTTTCTTTGATAATATACTAGTTTATAGTGCATCTTGGGCGGAACACACAACATCTCCAACAATTCCTTGGTACCCTATGGCAACAACAATTTTATATCAATAGAAAGAAGTGTGAATTTGGAAAGATGCAAATCCGGTATTTAGGACATGTTATTTCCAGTCAAGGGTGGAAATGGATCTAGAGAAGATGGTGGTTGTTCAGAATTGGCCTATCTAGTGGACTATTAAGGCTCTTAGGGACTTCCTAGGCCTTACAGGATATACGCTTCATTAAGAATTATGGAAAGATTACAATACCTCTAACAACTTATTGAGAAAATGGAAATTTGCATGGACCAACCAAAGTTTATAAGTTATGAAGATCTTAAAGACAACTCTGACAACCGCTGTAATCTTAGTTTTACCATATTTTTCTCAAACTTTTCATGTGGAGTGTGATGTGGCTGGCAAAAACTTTATCAAAGACAGAGAATAATTTGGAGGAATTCTCTTGTTATGTTGTTGATTAAACAATAAGTCATTTAAATAAGCGTACAAAAAATTGATTTACAAAAACTGATTGAATAATATAGGAAAGATAACCACCACTATCTCAACCATACTCCTTTTTACTTGGAGAAAATAAAAACTTATCTAACAATAAAACAAGAAATGAACATGATTTCATTGGTAAAATGTCTTTTAGAGTGGTATCAAAAGCAAATTCGCGAGGACTTGACGAGAGCAAACAATATATTACCATTGTGATACCTATGTGTGTGTTGAATCTCCCTACAATTGGTATCAGAGTCAATGATTCAATTATGGTGACCAAACTCAAATGAGCACGTCCCTCTATGGCAAAGGCGAAGCCTTGGAACGGTCAATAATAGACAACCAAATGAAGTAGGGAATGGAAGGTGGAGAACAAACGATGCTCAATGGTATAACCATGAGTCTGCAAACTATGGTGTACTCGTGAATAAAAAAAACTTCCGCGGTAGAAGAAATAGATAACCATAGTCATTTGTTTGAGGGGAGGATTGTTAGCAAAGAAAAATCCTAAATTAGATAAGAGATAAACATGAGTTTATGTACTTCATTAATAAAAGGCGTTTTGGACACAAAAAATAAAACTATGAAGGTTTGGTCTAGAGGAGACAATATCTCTCCATTATGAAGACTTATGTGTGTCTTGAATCTCTTTAGAAAATCAGCAAAACTATTATCAAAGTTTCATCTCTATATTAAAAATGAGATTTATTGAAATCAGACTATATTTGGATTTTTTTAAAAGAATTATAAACAAAATAAATATTATTTTTTTATAAAACAAAACTAGTTTCTTCACGAACTAATTTAAAATTNGAAGTCAGAGAGAGAACAGGGGAAAGAGGGAGAAGTCTTTTTTCTTCAGCTCATGCTTCGTGTTAACGCATCTGCCACTCACCACGCGACTCCTCTGCATCATAGGCCACGCGCCAGCTTTGCCACTTGCCACTCAAATAAATAATTGTATTTGCTTCAGATTTTGAGCAACATTATTGATAAATCATGTAATTTTATTGCCAAATCAATCATGATTTTGATGTTTAACCGCCTAAATAACTTTTAATTATAAAATTTCCTAATAAGTCTTTGCAATTGATTAAGTGTTATTTTATGACAAACTTCGTAAATATATATTTCGCTGTCATTTACTAACTCTAAAAAATTCAGAATAATTTTAAAGAAAAAAACTATTCAGTTAGAGAAATAGTTAAATTCAATAAAATCATCGAATAACTCGTCAATTCATGTTCTTGATTTATTTTCTATTCTATCATGGAGGTAATCAACATAACGTTAATTAATTTTGACATAACTCGCGTTGAATAACATATTAACTTGAGTTAAATAGTTATTAATTAACGAAAAAAAATCATTGAAATTAAGATAAAGATGCATCAATATAAAAGAATTCATAGTCAATCTAATGTTTTACATCGGAGATTTCTCCCTATACCTCCAATGATTTTTTTTCATATATCTCCTTTTTTTTGCAAAAATTTCATAATTAATCTTAATATTTTTTTTTTATTTTTTCTCTTTCCCAATAAACTTGTTTTACCTTTAATAGATTTCAAAATTAATTGACAATTTTATCTTCGAACATATTTAGTCACATCTAAATGTAATTTTTTTTTCTAATGATCTCTTTCTGTCTAAGATGGTGGTTGTTGAGACTAACCAAAAATTCTTCCTCAGACGAATTGACAAAAGCATTAATAAGAAGGTTTGGAGGGAGAATAGATGTTCGGTATTTGAAAAATTGAGAAAGGTGAACCGGAGGAATATATACAAGAGTTTAGATGTTAGTTCAACAAGCAACAAACTTGATAGAAGAACAATTGATGGGATTTAATGATGAGTTTCATTCAAGGAAAAAGAAAAGTACTAATAAAAGGGAACCCTCCTTAGAAAAAAGGGTTGTCACACCTACAACGTTATTAAAAGAATCGAAGATTGAATTGGTATGAGATATGGAAAGCGCTGAATTGGAGGATGGGTCTTATATACTAAACCAATTAGCACAAAGTCAGAATAGATTTTGAGAACTTTTGAGGGAATTTTCAGTGCACCATAGTGGCTACCACCCAACCGACATTTGAATCATCAAATACCGATCAAAACAAGTATACATCCAATTAATGTGAGGCCTTATATCCACACTTATTGAAGGCAAAAATTGAGAAACAAGTAGTACAAAAGTTGTGGATATGAATTATTAGGCCAAGTAAAAGCCCATATTCCAGTCCAGTGTTTTTGGTTAAGAAAAGAGATGGAAGTTGATGTATTGATTATAAGGCTTTAAACAAGGCTACAATTTTATATAAATTTCTCATTTTAGTGATAGAGGAGTTGTTAGATGAATTATATGGAGCTAAATACTTTTCCAAGATTGATTTGACAATGGGGTATCATCAAATAAGGATGAAAGAGGGAGACATTCCTAAAACGATTTTGTTCACACACTAAAGACATTATGAACTTTTGGTGATGTCTTTTGGGTTGTCTAATGCCCTTACCACGTTTCAAAGTGTTATGGACACCATTCTTAAGAGGTTTTTAAGGAAGTGTGCTTGTTTTCTTTGATAATATACTAGTTTATAGTGCATCTTGGGCGGAACACACAACATCTCCAACAAGTCCTTGGTACCCTCTCGCAACAACAATTGTATATCAATAAAAAGAAGTGTGAATTTGGAAAGATGCAAATCCGGTATTTAGGTCATGTTATTTCCAGTCAAGGGTGGAAATGGATCCAGAGAAGGTGGTGGTTGTTCAGAATTGGCCTATCTAGTGGACTATTAAGGCTCTTAGGGGCTTCCTAGGCCTTACAGGGTATTATAGACGCTTCATTAAGAATTATGGAAAGATTGCAACGCCTCTGACAACTTATTGAGAAAATGGAAATTTGCATGGACCAACCAAAGTTTATAAGCTATGAAGATCTTAAAGACAACCCTAACAACCGTTGTAATCTTAGTTTTACCATATTTTTCTCAAACTTTTCATGTGGAGTGTGATGTGGCTGACAAAAACTTTATTAAAGACATAGAATAATTTAGAG